CCTGCCAGCTCCGGCACGAGCTCGGCGCTGGCTGTCCCCATCGTCTCCACGAGGACCGCGAGCAGAGCTGCAACCCAGCCGCGGCGCCCGCCGGCGAGCGACGGCGCCGGGGCCCCGGGGCAGCCCCGCCAGGCGGGCCCCGGCGCACGCATGCGCTTCGCCGCCCTCGCCTGGCCATGAGCGGGCGCCGGCGCTGACGCGCGCCTGGCCGCCCGCTCGGCGGTGGCGGGCGGCGCCCACCCCCTCGCCCCCGGGTGCTCCGCGGCTGGCGTTAGCCGGCGCCGCTCGGCGCCCGGGCCCTCCGCCGCTGCGCAGCTGCGCGCCCTCGGGCAGCGGCGCCGCCGCCCCTCGGCCGCGCGGCGTCAGGCGCAGCCTCATGGCCGCGGGCGCCCCCTTCGTGCCCGAACCTGGACCGAAGGTCTTCCGGCCCCGGTCTCGGGGCCCGGCCTTAGGCCACCTGAGGCCGACCCCCAGCTTGGCCTCAAAAGGCTTGAGCCGCCGAACGGCGGTGGGAAAGGAGGGGGGGAGAGGGCAAGCAAGAGGCAAGGGCAGGAGCGAGGGGACCAAGGGAGAAAGCCCGCGCCAGTCCTGGAAACGGGGAGATCCATCAGTTTTACCAAACATCCTAATCATGGAGTGCCTTTGCGTCTGCTTTCTCAGCTGCGACGCGGTGGGCCACTGCTAACTTTCTAATTCCACTCGCAAGAACAATTGTCTCATCCGTCGCGTATTGGTGCAAGACTGCGTCCTCCATGAGCCTGTCTAGCTCAGGTTCCACAGTTTGCCCCCCGCCCGCTGCCACCTCTGTTCGCGAAAGACGCCATGAACTTCTGGCGCTCCACGCCCCTCCGCGCCGCAAAGGCCCGAAAGCGTTGCCCCTGCGGCCGGTCCGCCTCCGCTCAGCGGCAACGCGGCCTTCCTTGATGCAGGTCTCGAGGAGCTCGTCGCCGCCAGTGTCCTGCGGCGCGCGGTAGAGCCCCCCGACCTCCCTGAGGTCAGTCGACCACGAATGCCTCACGAATGCCAGCCAAGCTCCGCCACCTGAGCCCCGCGGAGGCCCCGCCGGAAGGTCGCCGCCCCGGTCGTCACTGGATGGTCGGGGGCCAGAGGGGTCGCTGAGAGGCACTTCGCGATGTTGACGCACTGCCGTCCCCATCCATCTGCTGCTCAGGCCCATTGTGCATGGCTGGGGGGCGCTGAACGTGCTTCGTAACGATTTTCCTGAGGTGGCTGTTGTCGACCTCGAGCCTGTCCGTGTTGAGGTGGATAACCAACGCGTGGGCGAGCAGCTTCAGCCGCGCCACATCTGCGCTGAGGTCGTTGACTGCAAGGAACCGCCGAGCCCGCGCGTCCAACTGGCATGCGGGCGTGGCCTGAATGGCGCCCGCGAGCCCCAGTTGGGCGAGCACCATGAAGAGACTGAAGGGAGGCTGCGCGCGGCAGCGCGGTGAATTTCTCGATGAGAGCTCCAGCGGCGCACAGCCATGTGAATGCGTCAACCTTCAGCTTGTTCGCAAGCTCTGTCTCGCGGAGCAAAAGCCAAATTGTTGAACAGAAGAGCAGCGTTCTCAAGCGGCGGAAAGCTCTAGTCTCGATGTCGCCACGGCTGTGCACGATGATCGGGTAGTCCCGCAGGATGCCTGAGTTGCCACTCTTGGCCCGACGCGCAGCCGCCGCTCGTTCTCTCTGCTCCCATTTTGTTGGCCCGATGAATAATTCTTCCGCCTGCATCGTCTGCGCGACGCTGGGTATCATCTTGAGCGCGGCGACCTGTGAGCAGGGGGCGCACCCGCGGGTGCCAGAAAGCTACTTCTATGCGATCCTCCTCTTCTTCGCAACCTCTTGCGCCCACACTGTAATCGGCGCCTTGCCCCTGGGGTCGCAATTGAGATCGTTCTGGGCGGTGTAAGCAAAGCAAACGAACGCACGCGTGCTCCAAACACCCCGCACTTATGCGCGCAATTAAACAATTGTTTTGCGGTGTGTTCGGAGCGCGTTGTTTTTCGTTTGGGCTTGTTTAAGCCGTGACAACCCTCGGCTGCAGCTGCCTCCCCAGCCCCATGCCTCGTCCATCAGCGCGGGTAGGTCGGCCCCAGCAGCGGGCGCGTCGGCCGGGGCTGCGCGGACATGCCCGCAAAGGCGACAGAATGGGCAGTGGGCGTCCTTGAGGAGATCTGTAGTCAAGGGCAGAGGGATGGCGAGGTCGCAACAAGCCACGTCGCCGCCCATCCGTTTCTTCCTCTGGCACAGCGAGAAGTTGCGATGCAAAAGTGCTCTGGCGATTCCATGGGAGACTAACTCGTAAAGCTGGTCCTGGTCGAATGGCTCCGCTGGGGGCACGTGGATCTCGAGGCGCGGGGGGCCCCAATTCCCTGTCGCCAAGGTCTCCAGCAGAGCGCGCGCCACCGCGTGCGTGTCTGCCTTCCTGTTGATGAACCAGCGAAAGATAAGCATCCTGCGCTTCTCAACCTCCATGCTGGGCCGCTCATGGATGATCGCGCGCCTGGGCCGCAGCGTGCCCACGAGACACTGACGGAATGCACCCATATGGGCTTGGATGTTCAGTGAGAGCACGAAGTCGATCATTCCACTGACGGCGCCGTTGAACCGCCATGTGGTAAGGGTTCGGGCTGACTGCAGCATGCGTTGCTCGCACGGGAATAACAGGGGAGCCTGTTGCGGAAATATGTTCACCATGTGCCGAGAAATCCTCCGTTCTACAACAAGGTTGCCGGGGTGTCTGTCAACGGAGGCCACGCGCGTGCACGTCTCGAAGTGGCACTCCTGGCAGCGTCGCTTCCGATGTTTCCCGCAGCGCCGCAGATGCACCCTGGCGTATTTCCACGCAGCGGCTGAACGTGCGAAGCGACCACCCCCGTGATAATAATGTAGCGAGCGTGGCCAGCACTGTCGTCAGTGCCCGGTAGCATTGCATATTCTTGTTGCGTCTGGAACAACTTGGCGGGGGCGCTCGCCCTGTTCGTGGGAAGGAGGGAGAAGCGCAATTATGCAACACACCGTGATCAATGTCGAGCTCCTTGCGGCGGCCCCTGCTGCGGATCCGAACGCCGTAGGACATTGCACTCGCCAGCGCCCTGCGGCGACCCCTATCGATCTTTGATGTTGACGCAGCCAGAAGTCGTCCAATCCTGGCCACGGTGTTGCGGCTCACGCGTGCGAAAGCAGCTTGGGCCGTCCGCGTCGCAAAGGACAAGTCGATTGCAGAGGTACCATCATACACATTGATGGTGTCGTCGTCTTGATCAAGCGTGGCTGACTGGCTGCGAGATCGGCATTGCGCGAGTGCGCGGCCCGCGTGGCAGGCCAACGGCGGCTGGAGCAGTAGCGTCGCAGCGCCATCATCAGCCATGACCTCTAGTGGAGCCTTCAGTGCTGCAATGAGCTCACGGAGGTCCTGTTTCTCGAGCCGTCGTCGTTTAGCTGCTTCCTGAGCGGCCTGTCTCGCCGCTGCAAGGTCGCCTCCTCTCCGAACAGGCCTCTGGGCAATTTGGCCAGCCATTCCAATATTCCGAACGCGCGCGCGAAACTAACAAAGCGTTGCGACGCATTCACAAAACAAAAGAGGCCTGAGGTCATGCGAAATCGGAGCGCGCATCTGACGCGGAGTGCAAACAACAAGCTTGCGAATTGCATGTGGATGAAAAACTTGGAGAGCCAGCGCGGCCGAGGAAACTGGGCGGCGACGCGGGCGACGCTGGGCGGACGTGCGCTCGCATCGCGGCACAGCCCCTGCGCGCTTGATGGCGCCGACGATCCGAATGCCCCTCGCTATATGCAGGCGCGCGGTGGAGAGGCGCGCCCGCGCATAACACTTGCGACTCCGATCGCGGGGGGGGGGGGCGATCATCCGAGGGGGGCGACCGAAAAGAACCGAAATACACTTGCGAAGTGCAACGAACAATGCCGCGAGCGGACCCGAATCTGCACGAGGGGCCCTCGGGGGCGCACTTGCCAACCAAAAACATCCTCACAAGGGGGGCGGGCTTTCGCCACCAACCGCAGAAATAAACAGAAACTGGCATCATGCCCATGATATATATATATATATATATATATATATATGTGAATACACATGCATTTTTATATATATATATATATATATATATATATATATACATATACATATATAGACAACGCAAGCGGCAACTGAGGCGGCAACGCCATTCAACAATGCGTCGATAGAGATCATGGAGGCGACTGGTTCACTGGCAATGTAAGCGGCCATGCAAGCAATGCGATTCACCACTGCTTGGATTATACTCAAACCCCTGCTCTGACTGTCTCGGCGGGGGCGCAGCGACGCGAGAGGAAATGCACGTTGCTCTCTCGGGCGTTCTGAAGCCAATGCGTTCATCCTGCTGTTGCTGCTGGCCCCTCTCTTCCTCCCATTAGTCCCCTACCCCCCCCCCCCGACCCCCCCTTCACATATTCCACGAACAGGAAGGGGCGCATATTGTGGGAGGGGGGGGGGGAGGAGGTTGATATCGAACCAGGCCGCCCAACATGGAATAACACATCGAACATGAACATCATCATTTCTTTAAATAGAATGTATATGTATATATGTATACATATATATACATGCATACGCACGTGCTTGTTTTCCTGAATATGTTGGAACGTGTCTTGAAAACATATTCGCTGAATATTTCTTACCTTTCTGAACAAATTTCCACTTCTGCAGAGTGTAGCGACCTGGTGGCTACCAGTACCTCCGACGCGCGCTGACGCGCGCTCTGGGACAATCAGTCCCAGTGGCCAGATCGTCGCCGACTGTCCGGAATATGTCCAGACCGTGGATATGAATCGAGAAAGACTGGCCGTTTGATTCAGAATGGACGCGGGAGCACACAGACGGACGAGGAGACGATGAGACCGAGGGCCCCCGCCAATGGAGCGCAGCAGCCCTAGAGGCTGATGCCGAGAAGGAGCTCGATGAAGTGCCTGAGGGATTTCCTGGGCTTGTCCTCGGCTGGTTGATGCTCGGGCGCTTTGGCCTCGACTCTCGCGAGAGATCGGCGATCCTGACCGCGGCCGGAGGATCGCTAGACGTCGTCACCATGCGTGAGAAGCTGATGCCGAGCTGGGAAGACGATGGCCTAGCAGAGCGCGATGGACAGGCCAAGTGCCCGAATGCATGCGCTGCCCAGCTTGGTGAGGATGACCGCGCATGGCTAGATGCCAGGGAGGGCGACCTGGACGCGGGCAGCTTCGCGGTGGGTCAGGGGCCCCCAGGGGCGCGCGATGAGGGGCCTGACCAGGCCGAGGCCGACGAGGGCGACATCGATGCGCACTTGGCAGCCCAGCACGAGGAGGCGGAGGCCCTGCCCGCGATCCACGCGGGTCAGAGGGCCCTCCTCCAGGCCCGGGAGGGACGGGGGGACAGTCGCATGAGCCGGGGCTTCTACCGTGGAGGGCGACCAGCCAACCCTGCCAAGGAGGGTGGCCGAGGAGCCAGCGGAGGATTCCGAGTGGGGTCGCGCCAGCCGATGGGTCACCAGTTCTGAGGTAGGGGTCATCTCAGGCCGCCGAACAAGAGCCAGGATAAGTGCACGAGATGTGGTGGAGCCCATTGGCTGCGGGACTGCCCCGATCGCCATGGCCCACGCCTCGGAGGTGGCGCGACAGGCTCGCCAGACGCGAGCGCGAAAGTGGCCGCCTGCAGAAAGGAACTGAAGTTCAACCTCGCGGCCGCGATGGTCGCCGAGCAGGAGACTGGGGACTCGCCGCGCGAGGCGACGTCTGCAGAGCAGGCCATGCGCGAGGGCAGGGGGATCGTCGACCTGTTTTGCGCGGGCGCCATGGGAGGCGCGCGCGCGCTCGACATCGTTGCCCGCAAGAACATGGAGAAGCACGGGGAGACGAGGCTCCACGAAGTGAACATTGACTACCGCCCGGTGCACAGCTTTGGGATTGGCAAGATGGAGCGCGCCCATGGCCGGGCGAAGTTCGGGATCGCGGGCGCGGGCGTGCAGGGCGACGTCGCCATCGGCGACTTCGCGAAGGATGTCCCGATCCTCGTGTTCGAAATGCTGGAGAAGCTGGGGGCCGTCGTGGATGGCGACGCAGGTGTCGCAGCGTTCGCGAAGCTAGCCCCGGGCGCCCCAGTCCAGCATGAGGAGCCGCCAGACGGCGGCCACTACTACATGAGCTTAGCGCATGACCTCCTCGAGCAAAATGTCAAGGACCCGGCCGAGCTGCAGAAGCTCATCGAGATCGGCCGTCACATCTCTGAGCGGGGCCGGAAGAGTGCAGCTGCGAGCCAGGAGTCAGAGCAGTACCAGGATCGGCGCACAGTGCGAGACGAAGAATACTTGAGTCCACCGTCTATCCTCCCCCCCCCCTCTCTCGCAAACAACGCCAGCGGCCGCCAGTCGGTCGAGCCAGAGTCGGAGGGTCAGACGGAGTGGTCACCATATCCTGGCGGGGATCACGAACGCGCCCATAGCCGTTGCGGCTCGAGCCCAGCGCGATCTCCAGCAGATGGATTGATCGACTCTGTGGAGCTACCAGCACGGCCAGACCTTCCACATCATCCATATTTCTTGGCCGTCGCTGGTCGATGATAGAGAGATGCTCTGCGGCGGCTTCCTCCGAGGGGCCATCAGCTCGCCTGCGTCGGGACCGCGTGCCGGTGCGACTCGGGCATGGGCAATGCCAACGTCGCGCAGCGGGGCGCATGGGCTCCTCAAGGCGGAGGCGGCGAAGGTGATCGAGGAGGTTGGCCTTCCCTTCAGCCTCGCCTGGAGCTCGGACGAGTTGAAGCAGGTCATCAAGTAGAACCTGTTTTGACGGAGCGAGACGGAGGCGCAGACGGCAGCGAAGGGCATCAGCTCCATGAGAAAGACCGATCTGATCGAGAAGGCGACCGAGATCGGGGCCCGCGTCGCGCCGAACATGACGAGCGCCTCGCTCAAGTTAGCGATGCGCAGAGCAATCCCGCAGGAGACCGCGCCGGAGCCGACCGACTACATGGGGTTCGGGAAGCACGGCGCCACGACCTACCAGCAGGTCCTGAACCGGCGCCCGTCCAGCGCCGAGTGGACCAAGAAGGGGGCGAACGCCAAGGTCAGCTGGGAGCCCATCAGGCTTGTCTCGTGGCTCAACGGGACAAGGGTCGCCCATTTTGAAAAGCAGATGGCCGGGGGCTGCGCGAATGTCCAGGTGGAGCCGACCGAGGCCCGAGGGGGCGCGAGGTCATCCCGCAGATGGACGGCGGGCGCTCTGAGGGAGGACGAGCTCACGGAGGAGGGGAAGCAGGCGGTGGACCTGGAGGAGAAGCAGGTCAACCGCCGCGCCCAGGAGGAGACGCCGTCGGCGCTGGGCCAGCTTAACCAGAGGCTGGAGAGAATCGAGGAACAGCCGAAGGCGCCGAGCACAGCCGACGGGAGCTTGCGTCCAGCGGGTCCCAATCAGAATGGCCTGGACGGAGCCTGAACTACACCGAAGAGCCGGACCCGAGGAAGCAGCGCTGGCTCGCGAAGTGCATCAAGGAGAACGACCACACCGAGGACCTTGAGGCACTACTCGCCCATGGAAGGGTCAAGCTACTTGAGGTGGCCTGCAGTCCTGCCTCCATCCTGAGCGCGCAGATGGCCGAGAAGTGCGGCGAGGACGCAATCCGACGCGCCAGCTCATGGAACGGGCACAAGCTAGGAACCCCAGATGGGAGCCAGAAGGCCAGCGAGACGCGCGACGAGTCGGAGCCGGACCACCTCTGGATCAGCACGAAAAGTGGACCGCTCTCGACGCTCACCCTTGGCTTCAACGGCCCCAACCCTGCGAGAGCTGAGGCCGCCAGTAAGCGCCGCCTCCAGGCGATCAAGGAGCGCGAGGGTGCGGTGCAGCTAGTGTACGATCACGTAGCACAGGGCAGGCACGCGCACTGGGAATGGCCCATCAAGCGCGAAAGGTGGGGCCACGCCATGATCCGGCAGATGGTGGAGGACGGGGCGAGGGCCGCGGTCAAGGTGGCCAGGTGCCAGCTCGGGGTGAAGAACGAGAGGGGCGACCCTCTTCTGAAGGAGTGGCTGATCGCCACAACATTCCCGAATAGGGCGGCGAGGAAGGCCATGGAGTGCCCAGGAGGCCATCTACACGGTGAGCTCACAGGAGGCGGACCCACCACATCCACGGGCTACTACACGGACGAGCTTGCGAAGAGGACAGCGCGCGCCATGATCGAGGAGAGAGCCCCATGCTACCGCGAGCTCTGGAATAACATGACCGATGCCGATGCGCAGGGCGAGCGCGCCCAGGCCGCCGGCAAAGAGAATGCCACCATGCACGCGGGCCCGAGTTCCAAGGATAACCAGCATATCATGCGATGGCTCACCTCGGTGCATAGGGGGTCGGGCCACAGTTCGAAGGCGCATCCAGGCCGACCAGTTCGAATGGGAACACCCTCGGAAGGAGATCAAGTCGGAGTTCTCACTGATCGAACAGGAGAACTGCATGGCGAGGGTCAGCAAGCTGCCCCACCACATGGTGGGCGAGGACACTCGAATCCAGCGCGGGCCGAACTGATGAGCTTCCACGAGGAGCAATGGCTGCCGTACTTCGGGAAGCCTCAGAGGGTCAAGGTGGGCCCTGAGGGCCCATGGATGTCAAAACAAGCTGCGGAGCACTTCGACTCTGACTCCACCGTGCGCGAGAAGATCCCCGGGCAGGCCCGCCGGCAAATCCCCCTCCCAAAAAGGCCATCCAAGCCGCGAAGGGGGCGATGGACAGGCTCGTGGCGGAGAATCCGGAGATGGCCATCGAGGAGGCTCTGGCTCGAAGGGCGAGAACAAGGGCCAGTTCAAGGGCCTCGCGCGGGTGCTCGCCGCGGAGACCAGTCGCCCGGTGGACGGCGACCTCAGGGAGAACCAGACCTTGCATCCAGATCGGGCTGGGCCCGTGGTCTGGCTGGCCCGGGCGGGCCGCGTCATCGAGGTGGACCTGTGCCAGATCCGAGCAGCGCCACCTGCGCGGCGGTCATGGGCGGCAGAGATGCCCCGTGGACGGTCCAAGCCTTCATGAGTACCTGGACTTCTCGGGCCACGACCCCACCGACCACGACGAGGAGTCGGCACCCTGGGAGGGGGCGCCGGAGCGAGCACCGCCCCTGAAGAAAGCGCGCCATGGAGAGCCGGCGAGCGAATCGCCGACGGGGCTCGCCTCCTCAGCCAGTGCGGAAGTCGATCCGAAAGAAAGGGAAGCGCCCAGGCGGCACCTCAAATGGGGCGAAGGCAGCGAGGGCCGCAGCCGCCAAGGAGACCATTTCGGAGAGAACTGCGCCCATGGCTCATGGCCAAGGCCTCGCCAGATGCCCGGGCTTTCTGGGCAAGGCGGGGCGCGTCGCTGGAGGTGTCTGCGGAGATGCCGCTCGCAGGTGGGGCCCTGGGTCGGGCTGCGAGGCGCATGGCCGCATGCGCGGCGAGCCAGCTGCGAAAGGGGCAGGCGAGAGATCTCGGAGGGGGCCCTCGCCCCGGACGAGGCGGCAAAGTTCAGCGTCGCGACGGCCACCGAGGTGGACAACTACGTCATCTCCTTTGTCCTGGAACCCCTACCACCGGGGGGCGCCCCGCCGCCGGAGGGCGCCATGCGCGCGCGGTGGGCCCTCGAGTGGAAGATTGACGAGAACACGGGCGACAGGAAGCCAAAGGCCAGGATCATGGTTCTAGGCTACATGGGCCCAGACTACGAACACCGCCCGACGACAGCACCCACAATGACACGGAAATCTCGACATGCGGTGCTGCAGGTGATGTCATGGCTTGGCTTCGGGGGGTTCAAGGCAGACGTGGCGGGGGCTTTCCCGCATAACCCGGATATCCAGCACGACCTCTTCGCGGTGCCAGTCAAGGAGCTCGCCGCCGCCTCGGGGTGCCCGACGGCGCCGCGGCGAGGCTGCGGAAGGCCGTGCACGGGCTCGCGGAGGCTGCCATCGAGTGGTTCATGACAGTCAGAGAGGCTCTTGAGGAGTTCGGCTGGGCCCAGATGAAGATGGGCCCGTGCGTCTGGGCGTTGCGCGGCGATGCGCGTGGCCAGGGCAGTTGCCTCACCAGGAAGGCGCTGCTGGACTTCCTGGATCCCGAGAAGCTTGACAGGCTGATCGCGGCGAAGTGCGACCTCGACATCATAGCTATTGCCGGCTCGCACGTGGGCGGCTTCCTGATTGGTGTGTGTGTGTGTGTGTGTGTGTGTGTGTGTGTGTGTGTGTGTGTGTGTGTGTGTGCGTGTGCGTGGGGGGTCTGGCCCACGGTGGATAGGGGCTCGCAAGAAGATCGAGGAGCGCTTGAAGTGGAAGACCTGGGAGACGGACGAGTTCATGCGGACTGGCGCCCGGGTCGAGCAGCAGGCCGACAAGAGCTCCCGCATGGATCGGAGCGAGCCCATCAATGCCATCGAGAAGACAGTCCAGTCCCCCGAGCGAAAGAAGAACAAGGACGCACCGACTACCGACAAGTAGAAGGGTCATCTTAGGGCGATCCTCGGAGCAGTTGGGCGGCGCCCCGAGCAGCCAGGGCCCATGCGCCCAGCCGACGCCAGCCTACTGCTCAGCACAATCCAATCATCTACGGTGCAGGCCATCAACGAGACGAACCGCCTGGTCGACCGTGCACGAGAATGCGCTGACCTCCCAATGGTGATCCATCGCCATTCTCAGACACAGGTGCTCGTGCACATCGAGCGGCCCGACTCCTCGGAGTCGAACAGACCAGACGGGAAGTCCACCAAAGGCCTGGTCTGCGGGGTGGCCCCGCTGAAGATCCTCCAGGGCGACGAGACGGACGTGAGCTTGATGTCATGGAAGTCAGGGAAGATCGATCGTGGATGCCGCAGCTCAGCCGCATGCGAGACGAGGTCAGCAGTGGACGGAGAAGACGAGCTGTCCGGAGTCAAGCTGCAGTGTCGAGAGACCCTGGGCAACAACATCGACTGGCGGAACCCGGAGGAAATCCTTGCCAGGCTGCCAGCCGCCATGGTTGTGGGCGCCATGGGCCTCTACGACAAGCTCCAGACAACCGCGCGCACCTTCTGGGGCAAGGAGAAGCGGACCGACGCGGAGGCGATGACCTCGAAGGAAGGGACGACAGCCGCCAACGACTGGGTACTCTGGGTGCATGGCGACGCCCAGCTGGCAAACTCACTGACGAAGGGCCGCGAGGCCAGGCCGGCTGAGGATGCACTACAACAGTGGCCACAGGTGGAAGCTAGTTTACGACGCCAAATGCCAAAGCGCCAGGAAGCGGAAGGCGGCCGGCATACTCCCTTTTGAGCATGTGCCGGCAAGAATGCTACGCGAGACGACTGCAAATGCATCGGGAATTCAGCCCGCAGCCTCATCCGGAGCCGGTCACCACGAGGGGGACTTCCCCGACTACGATGCAACACCATGTGACAGCAGTTCGGATGAAGGTCAGGACTGAAGTTTGCTCAGTTTGGAGGGCCCTTATCCGTGCGGATTTCCTTACTGACAAGCCTGAGCATTTCATGTGAGGTGGGCGTGGGTTTGCTGTGTCTGCCCGTTGCCGTTTCTCTCTTTCTCTCTCTCTCTCTCTCTCTCCCTCTCTTGAGCGAGAGCCCCCTCGCTTGTGCTTAGGGGCGTACGTTTTTGACTCGAGGCTCCTGGAGAGGAGCCCGATCTGACGCTGATCGTGAGGTGGAGAGATAAAACGTACCACTGCGCTATACCCACCTGGACTTGCAGTCTTGGGGCCCTTTTGTGCCGTCTTGGGGCGTCTTGGGAGCCTTTGGCCGTGTTGGGGCTCTCGTGGGGGCCTCTTGGGGCCCTCTTGGGAATCTTTTTGGGCCTTCTTGGGGCTCTCTTGGGGCTGCCTTGGGGCCCTCTTGGGACGCCTTGGGGCCTTTTCGGGTCGTCTTGGGCCCCTCTGGGGCAGTCTGGGGGCCCTCTTGGACCGTGTTCCGCCCCTTTGGGGGGCCTCTGGGGTGATTTTGGGACGAGCTTTGGGATCTCTGGGCCGTGTTGGGCCCGTCTGGGCCCGAAAAAGCGAGAACCCGAAACATCTCCAAAAACATTACGGAAATCAATGTTTCTGGGCTCCTGCGGCCCTCTCGAAAGCATCTGAAGCCGTCTTGAGGCTCTCTTGGACCGTCTGGAGGCCATCGGAAGCTCCCGCGAGGCCGTCTTTGGGTCGATTTGGCGCCTCTTGGGCCGTCTTGGGGCCCTTGAGCTCTGGTCAGTGGAAGAAACATGAGGAAACGGCCCGTGGAAGGCGCCCGCGAGCTGCTCCACTCGAAAAACAAAGAAAGGAAACGGCCCCCAGGCGGCCATTAACAACCAAACACGCGGCCCTCGCCCCTCCCCTGGACCCCTCCCTAAAGGGCTTCGCCCACCAGAACGTCATCACTCGTGCCTCGCTCTTTCCGTTACCTCGGAAGGGCGGCTGCATGGGATCGGACGGGGTCAGAACTGGGTACGTGCACTATCCTAGGCCCCCATCCAGGGACCCAAGAGGCGACCGTTCAGGTTGCCACAAGGCTCCTCAACACCGACCCACCAGCGTCACCCTTGGGAGGCGAAGACCTTTGCCTCGGACATGATCCGAACAAGCTCAGCCGGCATCCCATGAAGACAGAAGTGCAGGACAGGATTTCCCGCCACTTGAGTCCGAAGTCCGAGCAATGTTTGCACCCCCCGTAGGGCGGACAAACGATGCCCCCCATGGGAGCGCACGTTGGTGCTAGAACTCGGTTTGGTGCAATCTGTTGGCACCAATGTTGACAATGATGGGACGGTTTACCCACATGCGTTGACCCCCTCGGTGACGGTGCTACGAAGCAGAGGTGGCTGCCTCAGGATATGCGCTACACGCATCACCCACCATTACCAGGTGCCAACATCGAGCACCTAGTTCAAGGGTGGGAGAGCCCTAGTGCCCCATCCGATTCACAAGGATGTCTACCATGAAGAAATCAGCACTAAACTGCAATCCTCATTCTCCTCCTCCTCCTCCTCCTCATCCTCTCGTCGGAGGCGGGGGTGGCGCGCGGCTGTCGGCACTTTCGCTGGCTGTTGCTGTTGATCGGTGACTGTCGGTGCTGTTGCGGCTGCTTGTCAGTGATGAGATTGTCGCAGATCGCTGGTCCGTGTTGCCGGTCTGTGGTGGTCTGTGGTGTCTCACCGTGGAAGTCAGAATCTCTGGTTTGCTGATGTGTGTGGGTGCTGGTGTTGGTGGCTGTCGTTGCTGGTTTGAGTTGCTGGTCGGAAGTGGTCTGTGGATGTGGGTTTCTGGCCTGTTTGATGCTGCTGGTCGGTGGGTGTTGGTGTTGTTCGCGTTGCTGGTCGGTGCTGGTTCTGACGTAGGGCTCTGGTCGATGCTGCTGGGTGGTAGACTGCTGCGTTTTCTCTGTTGGCCGCTTTCATGGCCATCATCGTCTTCCTCACGAGCTCCTCCACCGTGGCGTCCAACTCCATGTTGAAAGACGCCAGCGTCACGCACTCGGTCTCCATGCCTGTCTGAATAGTTTCATGGTTAACTTCGGCATCTTCTCCTCGGCCCTGTGCGTCACGTGCCACTCCCTTGCCTCCTACCTGGCCTCCTGGATACTCTTTCTTACGTCAGCCACGTGCGATGTGATCGTCGGGAGTTCAGCGTGCAGGCGGGCCCTGAAGTCCTTGATCCATTGAGGAGGTCCGCCTCCTCGTTCGCCTTCTCAGAGCCGCTCATGCTCTCGTTGTCCTTTGTTTTTGTTCACCCTGTCGCTTGGATCGATCCCGCACTCCTGCCCAGGAAGGGGCCGCGAGCCTGTCGCGGCTCGTCCGTAGGATATGGGGGTGGGGAGCGTTCAAACAATAGGAGTGAGCATTGGGAATGCACCTACCTTGAACCAGAATGGCTTGAACCATTATGACGAGGTGGATGAGGAGGAAGAAGAAGACGAGGAGGGCGGGAGGGAGGAAAGAGGATGACGACAACGGTGGCGACGGCGACGAAGACGGACGGCCCGGCCGCCCCGACGTCAGACCGAAGACAGCGCGGCGCGAGCAAGGTCGCACCCTCCCCCCCCCCCACGCCCCACCGGGGCCTCAGGAAGGCCGCGCCGAGGGCTGCGGCGGCTTCCCCCGTCTTTGCCCAGTCCTGGCAGGCAGGGCCTACCCCCCAACTCCATCAGGGGCAGGGGCAGCAGGAGGGGGCGGGGGAGGATGGTGGAGAAGAGGGAGGAGGAGGAGGAGGAGGAGGAGGAGGAGGAGGAGGAGGAGGAGGAGGAGGAGGAGGAGGAGGAAGACGATGACGACGAGCCAACCCATAGCGTAAAGGCGTAAAGGCGTGAATGAGGAGGAGGAGGAGGAGGAAGAGGAGGGAGAACATGAGGAACCTCTTGGGACCGTTTGCTGTTCCAGAGGGGCCGAGCTACACACAACGACGTGAGGCCACCTCGAGACTGGGCAATGACTCTCAACATGACCACTCGCCGACACATGTTGCACGCCGCCCAACTGGCGGGATATACACCACTCTGTCCGCCGTTGGGTTCGCCTTGCCCTGCGGAGCCTCGTCAATCGCAAACGCGCATAAGCTGCTGGCAACTTCACGCACGCGCTGCTCTTGGGCGCGCTTCGGTCCTCCACATGCGTCCGCGCCGAGGGTACAACACTTCTTGCGAATTCTCGACAGATTCTCGGCACCCCTTCGCGGTCCCAAGTGGTAGATCAATCGCACCGATGACAAAATGTCATGCGCAACTCGGGCCAGAACGCCAGCAACTGCGTGTCATGCACGTGTTCTTCGCCGCTCTGAGCGGCCGTCACGGGAACAGTGCTTGGGCCGCCTGCGCTGGCCGCCGCCGCCAAGCTGCTGGCGCCAGACACGGTGCACAACATGTCAGAACACTGGGCGGCCGCGCGAGGCGATGACGATGTCGACATGTCCACCTGCTACCGCACTAGGTCAATGCATTCGCGAACAACTGCGAGGCCAAACTGGCTGGAATGCGAGGCGGCCTGTGAACTCCAGGCGGGCGACTCTGAACTTGCTGTCGGCCTCGGAAGCTCGCCTGAGCGTATTCCTCGCTCGGAGCAAGACGAGAGCCGCAGTGGCGTCGACCTCGTTAACGTCCTATTCGGAATCTAGCAAGTCTGCAACTTTCCAAGAATCCTTCTTGACCATGAGGGGCCCCAACTGGACAGATCCAGCAGCGGGTGCACTGCAGCAACTGACGCGAGCGGGCCCAGAACGGGCAAGAAACCCAGCTGGTCAGGCAAACGTGCAGTAGAAGTTAACCCGATAATAATTTAGTCTAAGTAGATCGTCTCAGTGACACAGCGACAGAACGAACAGCGAGACGAGACAGAACGAACTGCAACACGAAGAACTGCAGCCTCAGTAATCTGCAAGACAGAACGAACAGCGAGACGAGTGCGAAGCTCGTCACGAAAATAATTGCGCGGTCCCGTCCATTGGCTCGAGCTTGCTGGCTGCACGTGTTAACCAAGTAACATCCTAG